GTTCTATTAAGATCAGGATTCATAATGATATGAGGTAAGAAAATTCTGGTTAAATATATATGTATTTAATATTTTATCAACTATTTTTAAACTTATATCCTCCTCCTGAATTCCCAAATCTCGAAAAGAAAAACTTTAGATTTTACAAAGAATGCCGAAGCTGTAGGTATAGATTTTATATCAATCCACGGTCGTACACGTCGCCAGAAATCTACTACACCCATAGATATAGACACTATAAAGCTTTGTAAAGAATCTCTGCAAATTCCTGTAATAGCAAATGGCAATATCTTTTCCTTGAAAGATGCAAATTTATTATACGAGAATACTAAGGTTGATGGAGTGATGGCAGCTCGGTATACTTAAAAATCCTGCATTATTTACAGGGTGCGAAAGTACTCCTTGGGAATGTGTGGATAGATTTATTAAATTAAGTCTGGGATTAGGAACCACACATTATATTTTCCATCATCATTTGTAAGTTTATTCCAAATCGATATCTGTAAGCTTTAATTACTATTACTCACTTTTGTTTTTTGTTTTTTTAAAAAAAAAAAAGAATGTATATGTTTGAAGATTTTATGAGCAACGCTGAACGAAAAACGTTTAACACATTGACCAGTATACCAGCGATTGTTGATTATTTAGAAGAATATTATGGGTTACAAGTAGATTAAAGGTCTACATTTATTTATTCTCACTGGAGATTAGAAAGTTTACTATCCATTCGACAACCTTTACATTTGCTTATCTCTTAGACCATCGGCTTAATGTCCAAATTTGAACACTTAAATTTTACAATTTACATCTTACAAAAATTTTTTAAATACTAGATATGCAAAAAAATACTGCTGTATTTCTCCCCCTATGTGCAACAGTTTTAAGAACAATTTAGACTATACCCGCTGTTACTATCGGATTTCGGGACAGTAACAGTCCCTTCCTCAATTATCGAGCTCCTGCGAGATCAGCGATAAGACATCACCGGGTACACAAGTATGATAGCATCATATTAATGACCTGGGCATATAATAATAAAACATGATTAAAAACATACGGTATTTATAAGACATACGCGCCCGAGAATTCCGGTACATATGTTAGGGTTTGAAAAAGAGTCTCTAAATTACAATATTACTATTGTAAAAAAACCAGCTTCAAAATTCTTTAGATTCCTACGTATTATACCAAAGTTAATTAACTGGTTTTTATATAGAGCTATATTAGCTCTACATACAGTATACCAATGTTGGCCATTTTGGGTTATATTCAACTTTAAATATTAATGGTGAGACCATTATATTCAACTTTATATGACCAAAGGTGGTCATAATGTAATAGTAAATTTTATAAGTTATAACAGATCATAAAGTCATAACCTATAGTTGGCCAATGGGTTATAACAGGTCTTATATAGCTTAAAGTACCGTAAAAGTGCATACTATGAGTATCGCTAAAAGAAAACCCGAAAATTTAAATATAAGTCATATTTAAATTTTCGGGTTTTCTTTTAGCAACACTCATATACAAGATTCCCCCATATATCAGACCCACCCTCATTTTTTACTACGTAATTATTTTCTATTAATTTTTTTGGTGAAATGTAAAAGACCCGGTCTTGTATATGCACTTTTACGGTATGGCCTAAAACAAGATTTAATTATACAGTCGATACGTCTAATTGAATGAGTGCAAGCAAGGGAAAACCTAGAATTGACAACTATAGTTTAATATTCAGAAATAATAAACCATAATTGCCGGTTCGAGGTTTTCCTTTGCCGGCACTCACACTCATTATTAATATTGAATTAAACATGAATTAACTATAACTTAAGCCATGTTTCGAGCAATAGCTATTAACGTTATGACTTGACTTTGGCTACGACTTTTTTGAGCCGAATAAAGCAATTCAATAATAACATGGGGGTGCCAGTAGAAACCGCTTTTAGTAAGTTTTTTTTTTAAAATTTTAAACTAAAATATCTCAACAACTATTAAACCAAACTTGATAAAATTTTTTTATTTTAATTCTATAATTATATAGAATTAAAATAAATTTTTATCAAATTTGGTTTATCATAATAGCTGTTGAGATATTTTAATTTAAAGTTTAAAAAAATTTAATTATAAACAATTTGCTTGGTTTCTACTGACACCCCCATATCTCTAAAATCTACCATTATCACTATGTAGAATTGAAATTGTAATTTTGTAAAGCAATCCTTATTGATTAAAAATTTTAAGAATGTTTAAAATATAAAGAACGTTTAATTCATGTAAATTGTCGAAAACAGACAAAAAATTATGAGGGAATTTTAGTTTAGTTTAGTTCAGTGTAGAAAGTGTGATCGTAATATAGAGTTAATAGTATACAAATAAAACTTTTTTAAATTTTTTATTAACCCGAAATGGAATCTAAAACAAAAAACAAATTTTTAGTATATAGTAATTACAATAGTATAGTAATTATCAGAATTTCAGTTCTAAGCAAATTACCTCGATTTTTAACTCTTTCAAAGATAGAAACGGTATTAATTTGTAATTTTCACACCTTTAGAAGGTGGATCAGAAGTTAAAGTCTCCCTTTTCGAAGAATCTTTATCATTGACAACAACGAAATGATAAGCGATAATTAAAGCCATTATAAGAGCACCTAAAGAGTTACATAGAGCTGACAGTGTGGTATCTTCCATTTTTCAGTTTGTAAGGGAATTGTTAATCAGAAAATTGTTCGAGATTAGTTTAAATATAAGTGGCAGTTTACCATTGGTGCATGCTTGATTCCAAATAAGGGGGATGGCTAAAGCCAGGTGTGTTTATATGTTTTTTAATATTTAATTAAAATTAGGGTAAGGGTTGGCTAGGGGTTAAGGTTAGGGCAAGACTTATAGGTAAAATTGCCTTCCCGACATTTTTTATTAGTGCCCCGAGGTAGGTTTAGACACTCGTTTTCTTTATTTTTTGTGTTTTTCACTTTTTTTCTTTGTTTTTGTCTCGTCGGGCTAATCCGGGTAAATCAAAATTTATAATTTGATTGGCTGTTGCTCACGTGAACACACCTGGCTTTAGACGACCCCCAAATAAGGTGGTCGGTTTAAATTAAACTCACGTGACTTATATAAAGCTTTAACTTTAATTAATACCAGGAACTGGATATCAGTAATTTAAAATTTTTATATCTGATATGCTTATGCATAATTGTTCCCAATAGAGCTTAACATCCAAAAGATCAAAATTTCCAGGGTCAAAACTACGTTTTGATATTTTAATAAAAAATGTCAGAACGTAATATGTCATCAAAGTTCTCCGTTTCACAGACAATTCGTTCCGAAAAAAAAATCTTTATTATAAACACTTTATTAGATTTTAAAAATATAAAATTTTTATATACTATAAATTAAAAATTTTATTTATTGTTTTTTTTTTTTATAAATAAAAATCTAAAAGAATTAAATTTATTTTTTAAAAAATCCTCTAAATCGTCAATTTTTATCATGATATTGTACGTGAATTACTAATTGTCCATCTTGCACACTTGATTCATGAGAAGATTCTCCAATATTTTCATCTATTATCACTGGATCCGTATATGGAACTTCGCAATAGCCATAAGGGTCTAAAGGTGGTAAAGATAAATCTTCAAAATAAAAACAAAATTGTTAATTCTGTGTGCACTAAAACCATTTTCACGTTAAAAATTTTATACGCAAATTTATTTCCTAACCTATACATTGCGTGCATTTTAGTAAGTAGAATTCAATAAGTTTATATGATATAATAATAGAATACTATCCATACTAACCTTCGAATCCAACCAATTCTCTTGCGAAATCTGCGTCTGGGCGTTCTAAAATAGATGATGCGAGTTTTTTTGAATTTTTATACACATCGCATGTGAAATTGTCTATATATTTCCATGTTTTTTTCCAATATTGTGCAGTCAGAGGAAAAATATGTGCCTCTAGAATTCCAAAATAATTTATGAATTTAGATATTAAAGAACAAAGAGGCTATATACAATTTTCTTTATTGCATACCAGTTGTAAAAACAAAATTATCATCTAATTTATTAAATATATGATCTAAAAACACGATTTAAAAGGCTTAATTTTAGATTAATTGTAAGTAATGACTAAAGTTAATAAAATAATCGAATTTACCGGTATCAAACAATAGATATAAATATTTAAATGTTTCACTAAGCGTAAAGCTTTCCATACGACTTTCTAACTTCTTGGTGAGAACATCTTTGACAGATGCAAAGCCACATTCTACACGAGCGTATTTTTGTAAATCTTCAAGAACCATCTCACCAACATGAAGATAAAATGGATCTTTCGTTGCCTGCATGAACAATAATTATAAATTAATAGGAAAAAATAAATTCAAACTGTACAAACTGTATGGTCATATAAGTTAATGAACATTTACTCTGTAAAGAAAATAAGTCGATTCTATAAATTCTGGCCTTAGAGGATATGATGCAATCTCAACATTTCTTAGATAAAAGTTGAATCGTTCTGGCAGTGCTCGATATTTTCTCCAAATATTGTAGTAGAGTAGGTGTGATTTAATGGCATTATCCAGATCACCAGCAAGAACCTATATAAACGAAAACATAACTATTGAAATATCAAAAAATAAATAACTTATATTATAACCTGGTTTTACCTGTAAGCCAGGAAAATAAGCAGATAAACTATCCACCCAGGCAGACATCAGTCCTCCATTCAATATAT